ACCTGCGGACAAAGTATTCAAATTTGGGCGGGGGAGGGCGGAAGACGGAAAACGTGAAAGTGAAAGAAGGGAGGCGTCAGCAGTAGCATGTTTTCGCTTACCCGCCCTGCTGTATGCAGCAAGTAAGGCGACCCGGTTGATGGCACCACGCGACGGCCGATGTGGCATGAGAATATTGTTAGTTGTGTAGATCATGGTTGTACGAGGGTTAGGATACTGCCAGGGCGCCCACACCTAGACAGGAGGACGATTAGGGTCCTCAACCAAAGCCTTTGGCTCAAAAGCCTAACCGCAAGGCAGCGGTGTTTGGCGGGGAAATGCAAATGCATTACCTTTCCTATGGAACAAGTCGCCATACATGTTCTAACCTCCAACCTGGAGGACCAGGAGACTGTGTTCGTCAGACCTCTAACCATTGACCAACCTGGTACGAGAGACTCTGTGAGTGCCGCGCGGACACCCCCCAGTATAGCTCAATGGGTCGCCGTGGTACACAAACCGCCACACCACGATAAGGTCCAGTCTCCTCGTAAAACTCACTGAATCACATCAATTCGGTCGCTTATTATTAACGATCTGGCTTTCAATACACAATGCAGGGTACTATCGGATAGTTCGGATACAGTTCAGTATAGAATGATGCACCTACAAACTCTCAGTTAATTTTCAGAGTCAAATGGCATGTTGATTTTGGGGAACCGTCTTAAGCAGTCGCTGTACGCCCAAATAGCACGAGGGAAAAATAACGTACGGCCTAAGCACGCATCCACTAGATTAAACTGACGTCCAACAGACTGCATAAAAACAACTTTCCAGGAAATAAGTATGTGGTTGTTAGAAAGTAAGGAGCCGCCAGAAGTCACCTGAAGATGTATCCATTTTACACTCCGACAATGAATGATGATCTGGTCAGTTGGCTACTATGTGCTCCCAAAATGACGCACAAAGTGCACTCGGTGACTCTTCTACACACCGGAGCATTCACCGTCAGCTCAAACATAAGCCTGCGTGACATCGTATTCCGCATCTTCTCCATTGAGTTTTTTTCAGCAGACAGAATAGTTAACAGGTTAGGAACTGCCCAAACAGTTTGACTCAAGCGAAGGTTAGTATGGTGATGTTTGTGATGCTTAAGCTAATGGTAAGTACGCTTGTGCCGTTTTAGTTACACTCATTCGCGCCCCATCGGTGCGCATACAACAGATGCTTTTGAAAAACAAGACGAATCAACCGTGGACTAGAGGTACAAGGTAGCACGAAAAGGTGGCAGTCGGCAAATATTCCTCTTGTACTGTACTGCCTATGCACAAGAACATGCAAACTTCACAAACAAAACTACGACCTGTGCCTAGTATACGGGTGGGATTCATACACAGTCTAAAGATGGTTTTGTCATACTATGAGACTTCGATCAGTAAACTAGACGGTTGTTTATGCTTTACTGAAACGCTTATGCTTTTACTGAAACGCACCAACTGTAGTGAATAGTCCATACTCAAGTTGTGGACTTCAATACAACATACAAGTACCATATAGCTCTGACTTTAACGAATGCACACATGCAAGGTTTGGAGGAATTCAAAGTAGCGGATCAACGTAGATAGTTTATTCTTTGTTATACATGTGCGGCATGTACACTTCTTACGACTAGTGAAGAAACGCAGCTGAAACACGGTTTGTTTCAAGCCTACACAATGTATTCAGGCGAGTAAGAAAAATGGCAAGCCACTTGGCCAAACATCACCAGAAAGCGAAAAAAACGAGTGCAATTGAGGCGGGACTCTCAGTTGGTGTCCGCTTTAAGTGAAGTAAAATCACATACACTAAAGCTGACAACTACCGATGATTTTCCTACAATACTGTATGTGTACCGGGACTCAAGGATACTGATGTCCGCAGTATAACTTAGTCCCGGATGTTTGAGGAAGTGAACACAAAAATTATTGGAATAGGCAATGTGCTTGGATCAAGTATATTCGTTTGTTGATGTGTTTGTAATCAGTGTATAAAACGTGTATATTGCCAGAGACGTCGTATTATACTCACATCGACGGGTCACTTACATTACAAATCCGTGCATTGCTGATAAATCGATGAATTTCCTCAACAGAAACGTAAGACGCGTTTCGTCTTTCAAGAGGATCTGCAATGTTAGCTGAAATATTGGTCTAAAGTGGATAGGGGGTTGGAAAATACGATAAATTATCTGGTTACCTTATCTTGCAGATACTTCAAACATGCTGTGCGGAGTATCGCCACAAACTCTCCGTCTACTCCGGACTCACCGGCAAACAGCGTGTTAGCTGCAAGTTTTTCACTTGGTTGAAGATCGATCAAAAGGTAAACCTTTTGCTTTTGTCCCGTTGACATCGGAAGTTCTTTTATGAGCTTCTTGGCAATCAGCGATTTCAGGATTCTCGGAATACGGGTTTGTTGAAGCTTAGTGTCCGTGCTAATAGACTTAACGGAGGCAGCTTTGCCGGGAAATGAGTGAAATAAAATTCACGCAATACCATCTTCGCCGGCTTTCCGAATTGCATTGTACACCAGCCGTTCTTCCAGATCAGTAAGACTTTTTATGGTGCTGCGCAGCTGAAGCTCACACACAGATGATCTAACAGCAACTCACTCTATATTCGATTGATCTCGCAACTTCCAGGACAGTGTCCTGTCTGCATTGACCAGCACGTCTAGTAATCCTTCTTTTTGTAGTGCATTCAGAACCGGCAAAATGGTAGTCAAGGAAACATCGGAAAACTCTTTTTCGAAGTGTTTTTGCGTTAAGGCACCACCTGTACTCGTGAACAAGTTCAGAACCCTGTATATGCTGATAGTTATCGACAAATGGATGTTACCTGTCTCTCAGGGGATTCCCCTCTAATTTCATGACTTGGATGCAACGGATCCCCGCACAAACAGACTTGTCGGTCCAGCCGGATTCTGTAAATAGAGGACTTTGAAATTTAAAGCAAGTGGTGAAATAGGTTCGCATTTGAGATAACACCGCTGGAGCACAGAGCAAGGACACAGTCCTTATCACAGGCCTCTGTATCAACCGAAAGCCAGAAACATAGGTAGGGAAATACACTCAGAGGCACTCGGGTTCCTCACTGACCAAGCTGACTAGTGGTCGGTCCGAAATTTGTGCTCTACGTTGAAACCGCGAACTACCATAATAGGATTCGGTGCGGAACCGGTATCCGCTAGTCGCTACTTCAATTAGTAGCTTGGCTTTGATTCAATTCCACTTCTTCGGAAACCGCATACATTGATTGAAGGCCAAATTCGATCCCAGTTAACGGCCACCTAGAGCTGGACAAAATGCTCTACATAGGAAACTTATCCACAGCGAACCTCACGTGCAATACAGATTATTCCATTTTCGACCGAAAACCAGGCATTTCCTACGTTCAAGAGATTTGGACTAACGAAAAGGTGAAGTCGTGATGTTTGTGCATACTTTGGCTTTCCTCTGCTTTCCAGAAGTAGCCAAAATCATAGAGGAACTCAGCAAAATAGTTATCTCAACGCCTAGGCAAATATTGTTGGCACATACGTAGAATGGAGATTACAGCATCACACACATCAAGTGGGTTCACACCCAATCACTCTCCTCACTACCATCATGATTTCCGACATTGCTTTGTTCCTGTTTCTCTTGAGTTGGCTATCACCAAATACTTGAATGAGAGCCAACATGGGGGAGCTGTGAATCGGGGTGATAGAAATGGAAACTAGAGAAAGGGGCTAGTTGGGGTAAGCTATTCAGTTTCTGGACTCAAGCATGTCAATGACTGGAGCGCATCGTTACCGAAAACCGTCTACAGCCGTTGATATGGGGTTTCTCTGGATGGCTGCAAAAGGTGAGGTTGGTGGCCCATTCTTGCACCCCTCAGGGTGTTTGCTTGAAGGACGATTAGTGTACTACGAAGGTGCAAATGTGTAAGACAGCGAAATAAACCCAAATGTTAAGCCTCCATGTTCGTAGACCGAGACGAACAGCAATTGGGAGACACTCGATTGCATACATAAGGAATATACACTTGGCACAATATCAGAATACCTGAAATCATCACACCTATTGTTGTAGATGTGAACCTACTACAGTGGTTCCCATGAACTCGCCCTATCTTCCTAATAATCCTTCATATGCTACAACATATGCATGGTCCCATAAGTGGCAAAATTATTTTCCAAAAGAAAGCGCTACAATGGCAATGCGCTTCAACATTTGTCTGAATATCAAAATAAACTGTCACACAAGAATGCCCGAGGTCTTTTGATTCCTACATCATTCGCTTGCGCCACTGCTTTTTGTGGAAGTGATAAACGGCATTTTCGAACACGCAACACCTTTGCGATATCTGTTAATGCTAAAGAAGCTAGAAAATTAGGTAAACTGACACAAGATTACCCATTATCTCTCCGAGCGTAGTATCGATCATTTACTCATAATGCTGGACAACATCTCCAACACGCATTCTCGCCGTTTCAGTCTAGTTAGCCAGGATACCGATGAGTTTTCAGTTCAGAGAATAGATTCCGACGATAAGCCTGCAGGCACACATTGTTGATGCACCAGTAGGTCTTAATTCTACCGTCCAAGGTTACCGAATATTTGAGTAGGAATTAGAGTTGAATTGCTTAATCCCATCGCATCGTGCAGTCTGTCGTTATAAACACTCAAAAGCGTCTTATCATCCTCCTCAATTCAAGTCAATTTATCAGCAATAAACCGTGTACCAGAAGCGCATTGGTTTCAGCTGCTACAGTTTCCATCACCGGAAAACGGAAGTGTGGGACATACAACTAAGTCTTGGAGGTTCAGTTTGTTCGGAAATTGGGTAGCTACGTATTGAAGGCGATAGCTTTGACGTACGAGCGCCACTGACTGCGCGATTTGGCCATTTCTGCCAATGTCATTAACTATTGGTGATTTGGGTCCGGGGTCCCCATCCAAAGAGGCGGCAGTGACCGACCCGACTAAGTTTACTGGTTAGTGTTTTCGTACTTGGTTGCCGAGTCATACACTGTCCACCTCTCGGTCGTTTCCACTAAGCAAAAAGCTGGGAGAAAAGAGCTCTGCGAGGCAGACGGTATTTTGGCATGCGGAGTACATGTCCTAACCAGCGTAACCTATGAAGCATGGGTAATTCATTTATCGCGGAAGAGTTCCTACTCCCTAAGATCATCTGACGTACCTCAGCATCGCTAATCCGATGTTCCCATCAGACCTGACCAATGCTTCGGAGACACCGATGGTCAAACACTGACATATGTGCGCAGGGGCCACGTCCCTGATCCGTAAAGCAGTACGGATCGCACCACCACATACTGAGCGACAACACCAGTGTTGAGACTGATAATTCACTGCCGTACAACCATAAAGTCTATCTAATTATATTTAAAGCCTTGTTTCTAAACTGTCGCCCAGAAAAACGAGCCAAAATAATCCAGTGATACGCTCCAAAGGACTGATCCGCTTTGCAGCATTCAATGTCCATATTGTCATATTGGGCACAAGGCATCTCTTGCTGAAACCTTGTTTTCTTCCCCGGTGATATGCTGTATCTCTGAAACATGCATACAATACCCCAACTCGGTCGTGCACATCAAACCGCTTAGGACGAACTCGTATGTTCCACATTTCATTCTTCGAGTATCTGATGATCCTGACGCAATGGTGTAGGAGTTGCATTGATCTCCAAGGCTGAAGCCGCATTACTGGACTATATCCCAGTGAACAGTTGTCTTTGGGCTGTGCTGTTGTCTGGTTCTATTAAGATCAACGGAGGTTACCGCGGTATATGGTGTTCACTTGTCACATCATTATACAACAGATGGCTAAAGTGGTTAGAACGCGAATTTACTGATGGGAAGGTTCGTGGTTCGAACCCAACCTCTGCCTCTCGATTTCCCCTGCCTAGGCTTGGGCAACCTGGCAGTATCCCAGCCCCCGTACTTCCTTCGGGGGGCAAGGCAGCTAGACACCGAAAGGGTGTTGCAGATGAATGCTTTTCTTTACAACACGAAAGAGTGAAGTTTCCGAATACCACTATTACCACAAACTTTCGATTTTTTTATTTTTGTGACCTAATATGAGGAGCCCACTGAAGAAAGTTGTCACCTTATGTTAGTTTATGTGCACTGCAAATGTTTTTAAGTGTTTGTTTAGATTGCACTCTATTTGCCCAAGATGTAACGGTCTTATTGTCAAATCTCTGGTGACTCACACGGCTTCTGTATGCACGCGTTGCGAGTATTGTCGACAAACCAGTGGTACTTAAAGCGCCATCCAGCGACTGTGTATGAATATACGGTCGCAAATGAGGTCAAACTTGTATGAGACGAACCAACGAGAGCTTGTTTACGAGCTTGTGGTGATAGCATCAACCGAAGTTCCTGACCTCGAGAGGATGAGTTTTATCGAGATCTGTTGCGACTGCTCCCGTCAGCAAGTAGAACGGATTTAATCATTCTGACTGGTGATAGAAATGCCCAAGTGGGACGATTAAGCTCGGTGGATTCGGATTCAATGGTTAGCGTACAGATTATGAGGAGCGACTTTTTGAGTTGTGGGCTGAGCACCTGTTCTCGGTAGTACGAACATCCAGCACACATAGAGTTACTTGAAGTGATGTACAACCTTGCTTACTGGGCCTTGGCTCATGAGCTTTATTTCTGTTTTCCATCCACAGAAATTGTCGTGAACACTTGCCTTCGGAGAATCACTGTCCCCTGGTGTTTCCATAGCGTGCATATTACATCCAGAAGAGGTGCGCCGGCGACTGTGGTATCGAACCCAGGCCCTCCAAATGCCTAACAATCAGGATTGTGACGAATAACAATGCTAATGCGTTGTTTAGGTCCAGCAGGAGATGGCCTCCGATGCACGCCACAACCAGGCTATCTTTCAGCTGATTCTACTAACCCGAAAAAGGGAACGGGTGCGTTAGGCAGAATTCAACAGCAACGCCGCTTTGCCGCTGGCGTTTAGGTGTTGCTACGGCCAAGAAGCCTATCAAGCACCCATCTAGCTAGGACAGGCAGTTTGCCGCGCAGCATCAGGGCAAAGTTTGGTTAGTCCCAGAAGCCAATCACAGAGTGCCAATCCACGGAGTGCCGGCTGCCAGCGCGGAGGCTCGGTATTCGCACAATGGAGCTTAAACTTCGGAATCTATTATATGTCCGTGATGAACTAAGACAGGCAGGCAATTCGGAATATCAGTCCAAACTTTTGAGCACCATCTGGGCATCCCATTATCCCAGTGATGCTCGGAAATTGTTCCACTAGATAATTTCAACCAGAGTCATGATTGCTTCAGTGGACATTAAAATTCGATGATCTGCGAGAATGTCAGAGTATATTATGATGATTTTTGGTTCAAGCAAATATTCGAAAAAATTCTAGACTTTAGCGTCAACTTTGTACTCCATTCACAGGGGTTTTGCAGCTAACTTCATTGCGCGGCTAATGGCAACTTCCATTATGGCATCCCGTAGGCATAAGAGCTTGTGGTGTTGTTGCTGCACACACTTTATATACAAGGCACTGAATGTGTGTTTTTAACCTGGGTTTAGACGTTATTGCACGTTGCGTATCTTTGATGTTTGATTTGACTGGAACCCTTGCTTGGAAGTTGCAGACCGAGGACTAGGCTGAGGAAATATCGCTACTTCATGTGTCAGCTAAACAGTCTGAAAATAAGATGGAAAGCAACTTACAGTCCTCGTCTTGAAAGATGGGCTGAATAGTTCAAGGAGCAGTTCAACTGTCTCTATCCAGTATGACCTTCAGAGGAACCCCACGAGCTGTCAGCAATCACAGCATCTGGCCAGGATGGTGTGCATCCCGTAATTTTAAAACATGAGTGTGCTGCGGTGAGCTATTCAACGACCTTGTCATACAACGTTTGTGGCGAAGACCCAGTCCTGATGAGATGGAGCCCCTAGACTGTCATCCCGATTTTCAAAAAGCCCGCACGGACGTCGTGCACATACCTCCGTGGCATCATTCCGGTACCCGTAACGGCCGGGGGGCACTCTGGAATTAGCTCGCACAGGTTGATCGGTCGGCGGGCCATATAATCTCGTGTAAACGTAAGCTGGGTTCCGTTCTGGCTCATAGAGTAAACACCACATCGTTTATTTGAGCCCGGATAGCTCAACAGTCAAGGCGCGAGCTAACTAAATGCTAACCCCGTGGTTTTAGACCAACTTGATAGCTCCTGGCTGCACGCTGAGAATCCGGTAGTATCTTAGCCCTCATGCTCACCTTAGTTAGAGGGTATCTCTGCATCGGAGGCGTGTTACAACTGAACGAATAATATTATTTTCTATGGAGGAAAATGTTGTTAAGCACAGGTGACATAATATTATTAGCATAACAATGCCTAACCCCCAACTTGCAGAGAACATGCCAATCGAATTGTCATCGGGCCGTTACAACCTGAACTCGGCAGAAAACAACACAACAGGGATGAATGTACAACTAGCGAGTATATATCTGGTGCACTCTTGTACATCACCGCTCCTACAGGTATCTCATATCGGTTGATTATATTGCTCTGGAGGCTGTTCTGTCTCTGTCGCTTTTGCATGTCAGTCAGTCAGTCCGCAAAATTTGCACCGAATTTCAGCATTTGCAGCTGGTAAAGGATAGAGGGAATAAAATATTGGCAGCCATGAATTAAGGGCGAAAATCTGATTTGTACATTGATCTCGAATGGTTTTGTTTGTCCCTTTTGGGAGAGAGTAAAAGCTATGCATTATATACGATAGCTTTGATTAAACAACACCACTGTCTGCTTGGCACAGCTCTATCTGTCAGGGTCCCTTATGACAGGTCCGTCTTGTTCCGCGCTCCACGTTCGGCAAGGTAGCGTTTTTCAACGCAACTGAGCTGAATGGCACATTGCCTCAGTAAATAGCCCATGGCGCGTATCCTGTGGGTTGTGCAGCGAGAGTACAGTTTCCGGGTAACCACCCGGCATACTGCAGCTTTAGTGGACTGATACTCTCGCCGGAGTCGTATAGCCGAAGCCGTAGGCTGGAGGCCATACAGGAAGACGCCGAACGTCTCCCGTATCTACCGGCCAAGTCTTCGGCCTCCAAATTATGAAAAATTAGACCGCGATTTTGTACGCTTTACGACGGACATTCAGACTGATGTCCCCAATAGCACACATCTCAAACTTTAGTAAAACGCTGTCTCGTTTATCGCAAGGAGATCTCATCCTCAGCTACTTCTTATTCGGCAGATACCCGGTTATTCAGAACCTTGTACTGTTGAACGATATTTTTTGACGTGGGAATGCAGAATTTCGATATATTTATGCTCGCAACAAAAGTCGTCATAATCTGTCTTAGTTTTTCTTCCCCCGTTTCGAAATTTTGCTCGCGTTTCATCTTTGAGGAGGAAACGGTCCCGGGTATGCCCCCAAATAAGTTTTTTTTCAAAAGGGAAATTCCACTGTAGTTTTACATGACACTTGACCTACATGCAGAGGCGATCTTCTTCCGTAAGCCTTGCGTTTTTCCGTACAAGTTGTCTCAGCACCAAGGATGCGTCTACCGTGATGCCAACTCAGAATGGCAATCCTCGAGGTCCCAAGACAAATAATCGGCTCTAGCAAGCACGGTGAACTATCTCAGGTTCAGAAATACTTGCGAATTTCATCCACTTTGAACGATTTATGTTTTACTACAATTCCTGATGTCCTAATTTATCACCGGTACAATTTACGATGATTCATGGCCTTGAAGCCAAGCTTACTCAAACATATTAGCCAAACAGAGAATGAGCAGAAAATGCATTACCTATAGACAACGACTGTGAAGATGTTACCTTGAAAACAAATTTCTTTTTATTTTGTTGAGTGATTATGTTGTACAGCCAATTAAGACCAAGCCCCTATGCTCGG